GGTCCCATTTATTAAAGTGAAAGGGCCCTGTGGAACATGAAACAGAAACACAGTCACGTAAGAAAAATGTGGACTAGAGCTGCACAGCTATCAAGGTTACACAGAAATTATTTATAAATGTATGATTTAACTGCTGGTTTCAAAAGCACATTTTTACACTTCAACTTGCGCCTATAAAGTAAGAAAGTGTGATGTCAATTTTACAAATGAGGAAACTGGGGAAAAGCAGGTAACAGAGCAGGGAAAAATGTGGCATCTGAATGCTGTCTCCGTTTACTTCATTATAGTTGTTAAAGATCCCAACTGTACAGCAGCAGCAGAGCAGTCCAGGTTTCACTTCCTTCTGCAGAAGCTGCATGTAGATAAAAAGCCACAAAAGGGAATAATATCAGATTTATAACACTAGACTTTAAAAAGTATGTGTTTGTATGTGATATAATCCTCGTATCTGTTTAGTAATGAGATCACTTAAATTGTCATGCAGCTTGCCCATTCTGCACAAAATAAGCAGTTCTTAAGTGCTGTAAAGTTCTTCTGCTTTTTTTTTTTTCATTAGAAAGAGTGTATTCTGTCTGTGCAAACAGAATTTAGAGATTTATGTTCCCATTTGTTTAGGTATTGGTGTTTGTAATCAATGACTGTTTTCAAACTCAATTGTGTAGATTAATTAGATTATGTCTCTGCCTGGTCAGGAAATGCACAGCTAGATACTGGTTCGGACGGGTTTCCGAAGGTGGGTTCTTTCCTGCATTGCAAATAGCCATGGCACTCTCCCTGTCCTGGCTACAGCATGGCTGTCCAAGGAAATTCGGCTCGTACTTACTACCCTCTTCCAGCCCGTTGCGTGCGGAGGCTGGGTTGCTTTTCCTGGGAAGCAACCATCACAGTACCAAAAGCTCAAAGTAGCGTTCGGGCATGCTGATGTTGCTGTGATCCAGTGTTACTGAGCTTGAGTGATCAGGTGTTACTCCTTCACTTATTTTTCATGTTTCGTCATTATCTGGCCTGCAGGTTTTGTGTTACCGGTAATTGTTTCAGTGTATTACTGTAATCTTAGGCTCTCTGCTCTTTTACAAGCTTGGTTTCACTCAATTCTACATCTCTCCTCAGCTCAAGTGCTACCAAGTGCTGTTCAAATACACCTGACACCTGTACTCAGGGTTCAAACTTAGCACTTCCTCAAGCAGCAAAACGAGGGAAGTTACCCTTGTATTTCACTTTGTGCTGTGCAGTTCTGACAGAGTGGAGTCGCTTCCCTTTGCAAAGGCTTCAGGAAGGGGAAACAAGAACCTAGCCTGGCTCAGGGGTTGGGTCGTCCTGCAGGACAGGTGCTGCTTGGCAATGGTTACCTGCTTTCAGGAAGGGGGCTGCACAATGCAGAAAGGCATTCTAAAGGTCACTTTAAACATACAGAAATCATAATAGTAAATAATAACAATATTAACATACGTATAGAAATATAAGTAATATATAAAATTCTACTACTTTAGGGAGTGAGCAGAGAAATGGTTTTGAACCTGTTTTTCAAGATTGATATATATAGAGTACAGTTAACATAAGTTGAAGAAAGCTAGGAGTATCAGAAGCCAAAAACAGAGCAGCTACATTAACAAGACCTTTTGTTTTAGTATATGATAGTGTTTGAGTTAAAGGATCTTGTTTTGTCCTTTATTAATTCTGTGTTTGAATTTGCAAACTCAGTGATTCTCACAATTCTCCTAATTTCTTCAGCAGCATTTAGTATTTTTGCATTTTTAATCATCATCTCTTGGGATTACATTATTGCTGGGCAGTGGCTGCTTTTGTTTGGAAGAGGAGTTGCAAATGCCAGAACCATACACTGGAAAAAAATAGGAGCAGAAGCTATTGTTTAATCTGTTAATTGGATATAGAGTAGAAAGATATCTTTATTCTTCCATGTTAATCTCTTGTTTGTGCTGAGAAAAAACAGCAGTCTGCAGCCCTGTGTTGTTAGAAGCCAGACATGCATGGCCTTTCACTGTGCACTGAAGTGTTTTAGGTACCACCGTTAAATTCCCTTGAAATGCTTATTTTTCGGGGAATGAAGATGCAGATATATCCTGAAACATTCTAAGTAATAAGCCTAACTTTGTGTATAGCCAAGAAGGACTGGTGTTCTACTGTTTCCCGACTTCCCTTTTCTTCCATGGAGAATTTTTATCAAAGCTGTTGGAAATATACTGCCCTGTTTAATACAAAGATGCCTGCATTCACCGTTATGTAGACCAAAAGATTCAGCATAATGACTTCCACCTAGCATTGCATGGTCAAGCCCATGCTATATAGTATTGAATTATGCATGACATTTCTAATGGTGGAACAAAAACAGTAGCAGAAGGAGGTGCTGCAAAGGACGTGCAGCCTGTGCTGGCTATTAGGCACTGGTGTATGTGCATGCACATCCCAAGATATTCTTTGTTGAAACTCTGGTGCTGTGCGATACAAATCAAAGCTAGATGAAAGTAATACCTAATGAGGGAAGATTAAATAAAATAAAAATTCTGACACAGGGAATTGCAGAATACAGACCAACTTATTGTACTTTAGAGAGTGAGAAATAAAGATCTTGTATTTAGTTGGATGCTGAAAGTATCAACTAGTGTAAATATTTACTGTGCAGTAATTGCAAGGATCAGTCTTATTTGATAGTCCACAGTGATGATGCCTGTCAATGCCTGCTCAGTGAAAACTGCTAGAGTATGACTAGAATTATTTAAAGAGCAGCTGCTGCATCTTAAGCCGCAGCTGTGGTGTAAAGTGATTTCATTCAAATTCCGTCTCATGTATTTTGATATATCCCATATCCTGTTGTATTTATTGTTTACCCAAATACTTACCCAAATGCTATATTAAAAACCAAATATTACATATGTGGTCTTTGAAAGTTGGGATTGACTTAACAGACCTGCAGTGTATTTTTTTTAATAAATATCCAAAAGATTTCAATAGAAAACTTGGTTAAGGGTTCTGTTGTAGTATTGATTTTCTTCCCCAATGCACCAAACCCTAGACTAGCTATTTTCTGAGCCTTTTGCAATGGTATTACTGAAATAGATCAATCTGATATTTTCTTTTTTTATATTCTAGCCTAGAAAAAGATATGTTGTGAAAAATTATTTGAGCTTACTGGACCATTTCTCACTGTCACAAAGCAGTTGTTGCTTGCCGGTGCAGGCACCAGCACAGTGGTACCAGGCTGCTGGATCCGCCATCCTGGGATGTTTTCCCTTTGGCCAGGGAAGACATCCAGCCTGTGCCTCCGCGCCTTCCTGACTGCGAAAGCAAGCTTGGTCCTTCTCACGTGCAGACTTGGCTCCACAGAGGGGTCTCCACTGCTCTGTGGAGTTCAGCCACTTCTCACCAGCTCCCTGCTTACCAACCTGCAAAATCCAGCTGTAACTTCTGCTGGCCACTGGTGCTGTTGCCTGTCCCATGCTGCAGTTCCCTGTGGCGTGTGTGGTGGTTGCCCATGTCCCGTCCGCTTCTCCTGATCCCGGCCAGGCGCTGGTGAGCAGCCCCAGTGGTTGCCTGCAGGCCAGACGCTGGCCCAGTGGCCTTTGTAACACCCGCTGGAGAGTGCCTGTTGCGTGGTGATGAAATGCTGTGTGTTGCTGGGGGACCTTGTGGGGAGAACAGAAAACTTGAGTTTATCAGTCCTTCTCAGGAAAACTGAAAGCGTAAAACTTGTGATATCTTTGCTCCCAAGCACATTTCACTGAAATCAAATGCACAGAAATAATTTCCTCACATCTTTCCCTCCTGACTGCAGAAGTTTAATTTCTTTTTGGTAGTGTTCCAGTTCTGCGAGTTTTACGGGGCAGACAAAGTTACCCAAGACCTGGTACTTACTGAAAAATAAAACTGAAAGAAAAACTTGAAGGGAGAGCATCTCAGAGAGAATCAAAAAGAATTAAATAGTTTACTACCAGGCCAGATTTGAAAATATTTGAAAAGAGAAAAACAAATTGCCAAAGCCACAGTGCTGCTTTCCAGATATGCAAAGACTGAAAAAAAGAAAGTGAAAAGGTATTTTTCAGGGGGTGAAGACTTATGTTAAGGCTTATCCTGTCAGACTAAGCTGTGTTGTACTGTCAGCATAGTACTATTGTATCACCAGCAGTCCAGTGCAGACTTGATTATTGGTATTTTGATAGCAAAACTCTACTAGATCTAACTTAATTTCAAGCTCTCTAGCTTCATCCAATTTATAATAGCCAATTATCAAAGCTATGGTGTGTTTTTACCACTGGTACTGCTACTATCAATTTACCTTGGCTTCACTATATAGGTTTTATTTTTATTTATTTATTTATTTTTACTGCAAGTCACTGCGTACACTCAATTGGTTGCTGTTTTAACAAGATCTCTGGAGAACTCTTCAACGATGATGTATGTTGAGAAAAAAAGCCAGAAAGCAATTTGCCACCAAGTAGATACCAGATGAGTGGGCAAGAGTCTAGAGTTCAACAAAAGAAATTTAAACATGGAAAGAGTTTCTTAGCACATGCTCATGCCACGCTTTGAAATCATAATGAGAACAAGATAAGAGGCAGTCGTTGTCTCACTGGAGTCAGTGACAAGGTTTCTGTTGACATCAGGGAAGCAATCACTTCGTTCCTTGCGTTACTTGCGGGTTGATTAGATATGTTTCTAGCTTTGTTCCGACATAAACACTACCTTTGTCAACATGGAAAAATTGCAGTTTCAGTGTGTATTTTTCTAAAACTGCCTCTTGAAATACTTATAAAATATTAGCATAACTTGTCTTTCTGTCCCAACTTCTCATCTATTTTTTTCAGTGCAAGACATAGTTGGATTTGACTGGGAAAGAAATACTGAGAATAGTAGACTACTTCCATATGTGCTTTCCAAAGACAAGTGCTCCTCAGCCTTTTATATCCCTAAGTATAATCTTGATGTGGTTGTACATGTTAAAAAATAGGTAGTATTTTGAGACATACGATCTTCTCTGTTTCCAGGTGGGCCATGCACAGGTACAGCTCATGCCTCGTTAACCACACCAACCAAAAGATCTTGCAACTCAGGTATGTGCTTTGTGGGGGTTGAGGAATTACATTCTGCATGATATGTAGCTGTATGGTTATAGTTTAATAGTTAAGGGTAGTAACTATATCTGGCAAATGCCAAATGAAAATAAATATTGTTGCTTGGCCGTCAGAAATATGTATAAAAGGATTTGTATGGCAGATAGCTCATCTCAGAGTCCTGTTAAACATAATTCCATAAACATACTGTGTTTTCAGTAATCTTTGTAAACATAAGACATACAGGAGTAACTGGTTTGATTTAAAGATTATGATAGTATTCTGGAAATCCCCCCTTGAAATGTAAAGTATGGAGTAGAAAACTGGAGCATATTGACTTTCCTTGATTGAAGATGCTGATGTTTGCATTGAGACTACATTTTACCTGCTTTGGGTCCTTCTGATAACTTTATTTCAGCATGGAGGATATAGCTGGATAATCTCTCACAGAGGTAGTGTTAGTAGTGCCGTGTTGGGTCATTGCCAGGCTGAAGCTGCTGCTGCTGCACAAAGAATGCGAGCACTCGTTCCAGCAGCCAAGTTGCCTGTATTGGCTTAGATCTTTTTCAGACTTAGGTTTCACATGCATTGAGGAGAGCTCATATGATCTTTTTTACCAGCACCACTCTGGGAAGCCATAACCTCCTGTGGAGGGGTAGTGGCAGGTGTCTAGGTACCGGTAATGTTCTAGCAGTCTGTGTTTCCAGAATAATTATTGCCTATGTTTGTATTTATGTACCAATTGAGCTGTACTGAGGGCACAGAAAGGAGAGGTATTCCTGTTTGATTAAGAGCTCTTATTCTTTCAGGAGTTCAAGGTAAATTTCCTCTGAACTTACTCTTTCAAAAAGTGTTTCGAGTTACTGTATGTTTAGCTGAACTGTAGTTATTCCATATATGCGTATTGTTAGCTTACGGTGAATGTGTGATGATCTAAGTCGGCTTGGTCTGCAGCTAAGGAAGGTTAAAGAGAAGCTACATTGCCTTGCACTTGGTGCAGGTGCAGACCTCTCAAGAAATGCGTGATTATCTGTGACAATGCTGTGAGTATTATTTGCCAAAGAACTCTCTAAGTTTGGCACTGGAAGATACAGGATCCTCCTTCTCTAGAAGAGGAAGACCGTGGATTTTCTTTACTACGTAGCCATGGAAGTGTACCTACACGAGACGGAATGTTTGCCACCATATCCCTTGCAAACTAATCTACTTTGCTGATCGTATCACTAAATTGTAGTATCTTTACATGTTAGCTGTTGTAATGTTTAACTCTGGTTTTCATTGCAGGGTAATTTAAGAGCTTTCTATGATGCTTTAGATACTGAAAACTGGGAGTACTATGTGAATATTTTTAAAAACGTGATTAGCAAAAAGGCAAGTAAGTTCGATATTCAGAGTGTGAAATGGCAACAGCGAGAGCTCCTTAGAATAAAGCAGATGAAGCTACTAGAGAGTTGAAAAATATCCGTTAAATGGTTGGCTAACTTTGCTC